CCTGGCAGCCCGTGTAAATGATCCCTAATTAGGACACCCAACATTCCTCAAATTTGCCAATTACAGAAGTCACGCGCCAACTGTATTTGTTTCTTTTATTTTTTTTTGAGCCCTGGTAAGTCCACTGACGTGCCAAGCCCAGACATATTCCTCGGTCTGTAGAGTTTGTAGGATGAGCGAAGTCAATGTTTTAGACGTTTCAGCACTTTGAAGAAAGAAAACTCGGATCTCCCTAGTTAATTATAGCCGCTGTGGTATTACCATACGTATGCAAATTCCCAGAGCGGCGATGATGAGGAGTGTGTCCTATAAGCAGGAAGACAGCTGTCAGGTCTGGCAGATCCCATCCTCACATCTACGGAGTCTCCAGTGAATTATGACTTGAACCCATCTTTACATGACACTTCAAAACACAAATCCATATGGGAGACTTAAGAGACAGAAGTTAGTCAATGACACGTGACTCATCAACTGCTGAATATGAGATTACTAATCTAAGATGACCATAATGAGCGATCAGGGGGTGACGCCACAATGAGTAACACAACATGTGTCACTGTCAATCACCTACAGAATGTGTAACACACACTCAGGCAGCACTGACATTACAGCCCATTTACACAACAGTGAGGCTACCAGAGAGCATGGTACAAGGGACAGGGCAATGCACTGATTACAGCACATCCACTGTTTACCTCTGTTTACCTTTATTGGAATGTTACATCCCATTTATCTATATTTTGGGCAGTATAATGCAGAGTAGTGAAATCCCAGCATGCTGTGCTGAAAAACAGCAGTGTATGGTCTTTGTTATTTTTTTCAGTGGTGTGAATGGAACACAAAAGGAAATGAGGCAAATTGCCTTGTTTATGCATTGGGCTGCTTTAAAGCGGAGCTCCACCCAAAAGGGGACATTCCGCTTTAAGGACTGCTCCCCCACTCCCCATTAAGGATTGGCAGCTTTGGGGAGCGGGTTCCTGAATGTGACAGGTACCCGCTCCCACTTCCAGTTCGATCGCCAAGCAGAAGATGTCCTCCCTCCCTGTAGTCTTTTGGGACACAAGACAGGTCCCTTCAGACTACAGGACCATTCATGAAGCAAAGCGCAGCTTGCGCATGCGCAGTGGGTACCCAGCTGTGAAGCTGCAAAGCCGGGTACCCACACAGAAGATGCCGGCCTCCTGGAATACAGGACGGCTAGTGAAACGGGCTGCGGGGGACACACCGAGGGACAGGTAAGTGGCTGTTTTTTAAAAGTCAGCAGCTACAGTTTTTGTAGCTGCTGACTTTTATCTTTTGACAGGGTGAGTGGAACTCCACTTTAAGCATGCTGTCCAATGCAGCCCAATGCATACGGTGTGACCATGTTCATGGTTACCCCACATTTAGGGCTCATTCACACAGGCAGCCAGGGAGTGGTAAAAGCAAGCAGCTGAGCTGCAGTTTTACCACCCACCTAAAAAAAAAAAAAAAAAAAAAAGGAAAAAGCACAAACTAAACAGGATGTCGCATTCAGCAGGTGGTACTGGCGCCAAACACAATCAATTAAAAGTTTTTTACCTTCATGAATTCTTTGCAAGAAGGTAAAAATCTTCAGTGTGCAGCTCCCCCCAAGATCCCCCGATACTTACCTGAGCCCAATTGCGATCCAGCAATGTGCACAGAGCCTCGGCTTTCCCGGGTCTCTCTCTCCTCACTGGCTGAGACACAGCAGCAGAAGGCATTGGTTCCTACTGCTGTCAATCACGGCCAGTGAGGAAGGGGCAGGAGGCCAGGCTAAGCTGCATTCTGTATGTCTTATGAACATACAGGGCTAGTCAGGACATGCTTGCTATGGGGGCGCTCGGCGGGGGGAGGTGCCAGGACTGTCAGTGGGGAGCCCGAGAAGAAGAGGATCAGGGCTGCTCTGTGCAAAACCACTACACAGAGCAGGGGGGTATGACATGTTTGTTATTTTAATAAAGAAAAAAAAAAAAAAAAACACAAAGCTTTACAACGACTTTCATCGTATGGAGCCACCGCGCAGCAGCTACGTGTAACGCACTCAGTTGCAGGGCAGTGCATGGGTTACAGGGTTAAAACTGCCTCTAAAACATGTCCCACCATGGATCGCTTGTCGAAGAGGCAGCAAGGGCTGCTGCACGTATGAATAATGTTGCACATAGCAGAGAAATGTAACATGTTTGTCGTTTTAGAAAAAAAAAGCCTTTAGAGCCACTTTAAAGCGGATGGATTTTTGAAAGATGTGGACTAAGCCTTTTAGGGCCAATTCACACCAGATGCAGTAAGACTGTGATGAGCGGTTATTCCAGCGCAGTCCCACCACATGACGAGGCAAAATGCCTTGGCTCCTTTCTGCTCGATTCACATCACTGCATTGCGGTGGTGTGCGGGCACGGTGCGATGAAAAAAAAAAAAAAAAAAGTAGTGCATGCTTGATCCTGTATTTTCTGATCCTCCCCTTCTTCCAGTGTCTCCTAAATATCTCCTGATAAAACAGAGGCTCGGGGGCAAGTTGCATATGCTCCGTTTGCTGTGTATTGCTACGGAGTTGTTTGCTTTTCTTGGGAGACTACATGTGATCAGCACAGGGCCAATCAGCACTCTCCAGACACAGGTCAGGGTTTCTGCATCCTCCTAGAGAAGAATGAAAACTCCTCCTACAAGCTGTAACCACTGCTCTGCTGGACACTGATAGAAGTCACAAGACTGCTATGTACTGCTGATGAGGAAAGGTATTTAGCAGTTTATATTTACTAAAATAATTGTATTTCCATGTTCTGTGTACTGTGGGAGACCAGATATAGTGAATGCAGGGTCCTGGGAGACCAGATATAGTGAATGCAGGGTCCGGGGAGACCAGATATAGTGAATGCAGGGTCCGGGGAGAGCGGATATAGTGAATGCAGGGTCCGGGGAGACCGGATATAGTGAATGCAGGGTCCTGGGAGACCAGGTATAGTGAATGCAGGATCCTGGGAGACCAGATATAGTGAATGCAGGGTCCGGGGAGACCGGATATAGTGAATGCAGGGTCCGAGGAGACCGGATACAGTGAATGCAGGATCCTGGGAGACCAGATATAGTGAATGCAGGGTCCGGGGAGACCAGATATAGTGAATGCAGGGTCCGGGGAGACCAGATATAGTGAATGCAGGGTCCGGAGAGACCGGATATAGTTAATGCGGGGTCCTGGGAGACCGGATATAGTGAATGCGGGGTCCGGGGAGACCGGATATAGGGAATGCGGGGTCCGGGGAGACCGGATATAGTGAATGCAGGGTCCGGGGAGACCGATATAGGGAATGCGGGGTCCGGGGAGACCGGATATAGGGAATGCGGGGTCCGGGGAGACCGGATATAGGGAATGCGGGGTCCGGGGAGACCGGATATAGGGAATGCGGGGTCGGGGAGACCGGATATAGGGAATGCGGGGTCCGGGGAGACCGGATATAGGGAATGCGGGGTCCGGGGAGACCGGATATAGTGAATGCGGGGTCCGGGGAGACCAGATATAGTGAATGCGGGGTCCGGGGAGACCAGATACAGTGAATGCGGGGTCCGGGGAGACCAGATATAGTGAATACGGGGTCCGGGGAGACCAGATACAGTGAATGCGGGGTCCGGGGAGACCAGATACAGTGAATGCGGGGTCCGGGGAGACCAGATACAGTGAATGCGGGGTCCGGGGAGACCAGATACAGTGAATGCGGGGTCCGGGGAGACCAGATACAGTGAATGCGGGGTCCGGGGAGACCAGATACAGTGAATGCGGGGTCCGGGGAGACCAGATACAGTGAATGCGGGGTCCGGGGAGACCAGATACAGTGAATGCGGGGTCCGGGGAGACCAGATACAGTGAATGCGGGGTCCGGGGAGACCAGATACAGTGAATGCGGGGTCCGGGGAGACCAGATACAGTGAATGCGGGGTCCGGGGAGACCAGATACAGTGAATGCGGGGTCCGGGGAGACCAGATACAGTGAATGCGGGGTCCGGGGAGACCAGATACAGTGAATGCGGGGTCCGGGGAGACCAGATACAGTGAATGCGGGGTCCGGGGAGACCAGATACAGTGAATGCGGGGTCCGGGGAGACCAGATACAGTGAATGCGGGGTCCGGGGAGACCAGATACAGTGAATGCGGGGTCCGGGGAGACCAGATACAGTGAATGCGGGGTCCGGGGAGACCAGATACAGTGAATGCGGGGTCCGGGGAGACCAGATATAGTGAATGCGGGGTCCGAGGAGACCAGATATAGTGAATGCAGGATCCTGGGAGACCAGATATAGTGAATGCGGGGTCCGGGGAGACCGGATATAGTGAATGCGGGGTCCGGGGAGACCAGATATAGTGAATGCGGGGTCCGGGGAGACCAGATATAGTGAATGCGGGGTCCGGGGAGACCAGATATAGTGAATGCGGGGTCCGGGGGGGAGACCAGATACAGTGAATGCGGGGTCCGGGGAGACCAGATACAGTGAATGCGGGGTCCGGGGAGACCAGATACAGTGAATGCGGGGTCCGGGGAGACCAGATACAGTGAATGCGGGGTCCGGGGAGACCAGATACAGTGAATGCGGGGTCCGGGGAGACCAGATACAGTGAATGCGGGGTCCGGGGAGACCAGATACAGTGAATGCGGGGTCCGGGGAGACCAGATACAGTGAATGCGGGGTCCGGGGAGACCAGATACAGTGAATGCGGGGTCCGGGGAGACCAGATACAGTGAATGCGGGGTCCGGGGAGACCAGATACAGTGAATGCGGGGTCCGGGGAGACCAGATACAGTGAATGCGGGGTCCGGGGAGACCAGATACAGTGAATGCGGGGTCCGGGGAGACCAGATACAGTGAATGCGGGGTCCGGGGAGACCAGATACAGTGAATGCGGGGTCCGGGGAGACCAGATACAGTGAATGCGGGGTCCGGGGAGACCAGATATAGTGAATGCGGGGTCCGGGGAGACCAGATATAGTGAATGCGGGGTCCGGGGAGACCAGATATAGTGAATGCGGGGTCCGGGGAGACCAGATATAGTGAATGCGGGGTCCGGGGAGACCGGATATAGTGAAATGCGGGGTCCGGGGAGACCGGATATAGTGAATGCGGGGTCCGGGGAGACCGGATATAGTGAATGCGGGGTCCGGGGAGACCGGATATAGTGAATGCGGGGTCCGGGGAGACCGGATATAGTGAATGCGGGGTCCGGGGAGACCGGATATAGCGAATGCGGGGTCCGGAGAGACCGGATATAGTGAGAGACCGGATATAGTGAATGCGGGGTCCGGGGAGACCGGATATAGTGAATGCGGGGTCCGGGGAGATATAGTGAATGCAGGGTCCAGGGTTTAGTAACACTTTAATGAAATGTCCCTGTGCCGTTCAATAAAGTACGTTAAAAAAAAAAAAGAAGGTGGTGGTGCAATACATAGCAGCCATTCCCACTGGACTGCACACCGTTAGCTGGTATAAATGGACCCATAGCCCTGGTTCACACCAGTGCGACTTCAGGTGCGACATGTAATTTACAAATTGCACCTGAAATCGCATTTAATATATTTCTAAGGTACTGACTCACCCTAGGTTCACACCTAACCGTTTTCTGCAGCATTTTGCTGAAACAGTCCATTTATTTATTTCAGGTCCTTATATAGCGCCATCCATTTACGCAGCACTTTACATATATATTGTACATTCACATCAGTCCCTAACCCCCAAAGGACGTACAATCTAAGGTCATTTTAACATAATTTCCTATGGGACACGTTTACATCTCCGTGTTTTGACCCGGTGTGTTTTTTGGAAAGGGTCTGGTACTTTTTTTTAATGCAAAAAGTTGCGTATTTGGTTCAATAGACTTAAATGGAAGCTCTGCAGAAAAACATTTATTGCGTTTTTGCTGCATTTTACATTTTAAATCTGCCTAACAAGAAAAACAGAAAAAAAAAGTGAAAAAAAAAAAAACCCCGCAAAATGAGTCAAAAACGCAGCTGCAAAATGCAACATAAAACGCAATGCAGAAATGGCTCAAACGCAACCTGCATAGGTGTGAAAGTGTGATTTGAAGTATCGCGATTTCAGAAATAGTTCCTGCACTACTTTTTTCCAATTTCATTGCAACTTTCATCGACTTCTGTTAAATGAAGTTGCAAGCCGCAGTGAAATCGGAGATACAAATTGCACTGATCTGCAGCTTTGAAATCAAACTACTTCAAATGAAGTAGCACAATTTCAAAGTTGCATTCAGTGTAGACCAGGGCTTTAATCTGAAAGGTAAAACAGCAGGACAAGGTGTTTCCTTTTTTTCAATGAAGTGACAGTTGTTCTCAGCTGAGTCCAGTTAGAGTTGGACAGTCACATAACTGGTAATAAGGATCCTTTGTGAACTGCACCTATAGTATGAATATATATATATATGAGAGATATATAACTTTTTATAGTCAGTAACGTAACCAGCAGCATCCAATCAGAAGTCACCTTTTGCTGACAAAGATTGCATAATTTCACTGCACTCTGCACAGCTTTATTGAACAAGTAACAGGAACAAGGTTCTGTCGCATGATGCAATCCTGTGTACAGATTTCCTGACACCCAGCAGACACTTCTGCTTTCCAGCCTGGACACAGATTAACACTTCTGACTGCTGGAGATCATGGAAAGCCCGTTCCTACAATCTCATATAAACCAGCAAATGAATGCAGCTTCAGGAGTATATCTTTAGGGAACATCTTTTTTTACATAGCAGTAGTAGAGTTTTGTGCTGTGTAAGCCATAGGTTTAAAGTGGAACTATAGGTAAACCTTTTTTTTTAAATTTTGGATAAAGTACGGGCGGATTATAACCTGTCAGTTATTTTATGCCATCTGTGCCCCAGCCAGTTCCTGTCCCATAGCCAAAACAGATGTAAGAGGAAATCCATTGTTGTCACCAGAACTTGTGTCCCCATTGGAAGATTTCCCTTCTATTCCTATGCCAGGGACAACCCAAAATTCAGGAATTTATTTTACTTTCACTTTTAGTGTGGACAGTAAACAAAACAGAGAAGGCAAATTTCTGGGGGTACAGACAGCAATAAAAACCTGACAGATGTTCTAACCCCTCTCCAAAAAAAAAAAAAAGTTACCTTTATTTATACTTCAAACCACATGTGTCAAACACAAGGCCTGTGGGCCGAATCCGGCTCGCCAGGCCTTTCCATGTGGCCCTCGCAGCTTTCCAGCAGCTGTGGCACCTCCTTGTCTCTGCTCCCACCTTGTCTCAGCAGTTGACAGCAGAGAAGAGGACAAAACTCCACCTAAAAACCCTGCGCCCCCTTTGCAGCTGCGGTACCCCCTCATCTCCACCTCCCCTGGCCTCAGCATTCAGTAGACTCCAGCCCTCCTCTGGTCCTCCTCCAGACCCTGCATTTCTGCCCCCAGCTTCTTAACAGTAGCAACACAAGGTAAAGGAGGCTGGGGGACTCGTGACTTTTGATAGTGGGGGTCTCTTGGCACCTGATGAGGGTGGGGGTGCTATGGACATCTAGTCTTACAGATACAGCCGGCCCTTTCATGAAAACCACATAGCTGATGCAGCCCAAAATGAAAGTTGAGTTTGACACCCTGGTTTTAAACAATCACTTTACTGGCTAAGTTAAAATAGAACTAAAGGCAAACTTTGTTTTGCCAAATGGAGGGTTATAACCCGTCAGGTTTTTTTTTTTTTCACCATATGTGTCCCATTGGGGAGATTTCCCTTTACCTCCTGTCCCAAAGCCAAACTGGAAGTGAGAGGAAATCCCAAATTAAGGGAATCCATTGGGGTCCCCCAGGTCACTAGAACTAGTATATGTTTACTGCTGCTCAAGGTAGAGAGACTCCTAATCTCCAATCACAACTCCTCCTGTAGGTGCTAGACAGGTTAAAGCGGTGTTCCGCTCACTCTGTCAAAGAATAAAAATCAGCAGCTACAAAAACTGTAGCTGCTGACTTTTAAAAAACAGCCACTTACCTGTCCCTCCGTCCCGCTGTGTGCCCCCGCAGTCCATTTCACCGGCCGTCCTGTATTCCAGGAGGCCGGCATGTTCAGTGTGGGCACCCGGCTGTGATAGCTTGCGGCTTCATAGTCGGATACCCACTGCGCATGCGCAAGTAGCGCTGCTCTTCATGAATGGTCCTGCAGTCTTCTGAGACCTGTCACGTGTCCCAAAAGACGGGAGGGAGGACACCTTCCGCTTCCGATCGCTGCCGGAAGTGGGAGGGGGTACATACCAATTTCGGGTACCTACTCCCCCTCGACCCCCAAAGGTGCCAATCCTTAATGGGGAGCAGTCCTTAAAGCGGAACTTCCCCTTTTGGGTGGAGCTCCGCTTTAATTCGGTTTGTTTTCAAGCTGGCTGGCAAGTTGCGCTGAGAATTTTCCTGCTTTGTTGTTTGGCATGCGTCGCCCGTCCATGTGCTCCTTGCTGTGAAGGACAGTTATAGACTGGGGCAGCAGCCATTTTTTGTACTGTTGATTTATTGGTGGGGGGCACGCTGCACACCTTGGCTGCCATTGTGCTACATGCTGGGTGTCCAGTGCGCTCTTGTACCTTCAGCCCTGGTGCACATATATGCGGCCATGTGGGCTGCGTTTGGCGCAGGCACAAGAGCCCATTTATTTGAATGGACCCCCGTGCCACACAGGGAAGAAGTCCCTGCACTTCTTCTGAAAACGCATCCCACACAGGAACCTCAGTTCCCAGTACGGTTGCGTTTTCCAGTGTGGGCGGCGTGCCATTAGAACTACTGGCACCAACCCGCGGGTCCGCCTGCATGGATTTTCGTTTGGTTCCACAGCGGCACCACCCGCACATATGTGAACCTAGCCTCAAGAAGGGGTGGGCTCCCTCAGGTCCACCTGCCCTTGGTCTATCCATTAAATACATGTGCCTCTACTATGGGGGCTCTTAACATTGTAGAGTTAGGACTACAGATTATCGGGGGGCCGTGACGAGGCTCTGTAGCATACGCATGTGTTTGCAAATGTGTGCTAACTAAACCCCTGTTTTTAACGCATACTGTTAGGCTACGTTCACACTAGCGCTGTGTGCAGGCGGCAGAGAGGCGTTTGGGAAGCGTTTTTACCTGCCAATTCCTGCACATTACAGCACATGGTGCTGTTCTAACGGGAGCGTTTGTGTCGCGGCAAAACGGACGCCTCTGGTCGAGTCAGGAGGCGTTGAAGCCTCCTATTCTAGTCCATGGTGCCGCTCCGCAAACGCCCGGTTGGCGTTTGCAGAGCGGTAACACCATTCAAACTGCATTATAGGCGCTTGTGGGGCGTTTTTAACGCTCAGCAAACGCCTACAACCGCCGCTAAACCGCGCATGCGGCGTTTTAAGCGTTAAAAAATGCTCCGCAAACAACGGACCAACGCTTGCCAACCGCTATAAGGGGCGTTTGGCAAGCGTTGGTAAAACAGCCAAGTGTGAACGAGCCCTTAGACAGGTTAATTCGGATTCTATACAAGCTGGCTGGCAGGTTGAGCTGCAAATTTTTCTTTTTTGTTGTTTGACAACATTCTGTCCCTGTCTCCCAGCGGTTGTCACCCTGTCCCCATGCATGTGGCTGTTTCAACACGCATTACAAGCCACGGTTCAATTCTGTCACCATTAGGAAGCCCCGCCTGAGAAACGGCACGAAGCCTTCACTGGAGTACATGTGGATGGGAAGTGGCTGCAAACAGGCTGGAGAGATCAGTAGCACTGAAATGCAACCAAAATAGTAGAAAAAAAAAAAAGAAAGCAATGAGTGCGGTATATTGTGCATTGACGTATGCTGATTTGGAAATGACCGCCAGCCTGAGAGGAGGAATACGGCTCTCATTGGAAAACTCCGTCACTTCCTGTTGTGTCTCTGGCACAGGAAGTGAAGGGAAATCTCCCCTAAAGAGACAGACAAAAAAAAAAAAAACACTAGCAGGGGGTTATAAATCTTCCACACACTATTCAAAACTAAAAAAAAAGTAATAGAAAAGCTAATAATAATAAAAGTAATAATACCAAAAAATGAAAAGAAAAAAAAAAAACTTTTTCCCCTTCACATAGACTGACACAACAGACATGACACTTCTATAACTCCCAGAACGAAGGCTGCAATGTGAAGAACTCTCTCTCTCAGGCAGACCCGGAAACAGCGGTAGCGCCTGAGGCACTACAAGTCGCAGAACACCCCAGCCCCCCGCCGAGGTCACCCACACACACACCGCCCGTGTCTGGGGTGACAATGAGCCCCTCTTACCCCGTGTTCTCCTCCTTAGTCATGGCGAAGGCAGCAGGACACCCAACACCGGCTTCTTCCGCCCGCAGCGTGCACAGGAGAGGAAAGG